AATGAGTTTTTAGTGTATGTGAAATAATGAGACTGGATTAGTAATGAAATGGACAAAGTATTTATTTCTACAATAAAGTTAAAAGAAAGCACAGTGTATTCATTTGCACAGATCAGATCACAGTTGAAACTTCTACTAAGCTTTGTTTAGTCCCAAAGCTTTCACTCTATCGATATTAATGTTGGTAGAACTAAAAACTACCATCTCCAAAGAGTGTCTTTACTTGATGATCTCCTAGTATAACTGAACAAAGAAAGCTCACTTCAATTCCACAAGTAAACAGTGTCACACAGAAACCCTTTCTCACTCACAACATTGGTTGGCTGTAATACCTAGACATTGTCAATTCGTCTAGTAAAGGATATTGCAATTGCTAATCCTTCCAGTACAGATGCTCTGTGTTACTCAGTATTTCCCTTGAGCAGAATAGACATTATTTATTTTAGAGAAAAAAGAAATAAAGCAAGTAGAAAAACAACTTTCTGGGTCATATGGCTATACAATAACTGCATAGAAATTAAATAATCACAAAAATTCAAACACTCCTATATAACTAAAGCAGTAGAAAATGCGTAATATGCTTGCACATCACACTATTACTCTTCCATGATTACTCATTACCTGCTAAATAATCCAATGTAGAATTCGAAACGTTCTCTCTCCAGAAAAATAGACACACTATATTTTATTGTATAATACCTTACAGGTCAGTAATCACGGTTAACTTCATATTCAATATGTGGATAAAATCCTTTGTTTCCATTCACATGTAATCTATTAATTGTGTTCATCATACAATTGACTCATTCTTGTTATACAACACTTAATGACTTCATTAATGTTCCTAAACTTATGTAGGACCATGCACATGTATTTAGTTAGACATGTATAGTGCTATATACATATATCTCCATATTATGCAATCACTTATACAAATAATTTATAACAGAACACTTCTGGCTCTCACTCAACTTACTTCTTAGCCATCTTGGGCTATTTTCTAAAGCTACCGGCTGGTAGCTACCATTTAGTAAGGTGCTGCCACCTGTGAGCCATCAAAATCAATAATTTTTCCTTTCAGGTATCATGAAATAACTAATCACAAACTAAGCTCGTCTGAACTAAGAACTTTCAACCAAAGTGTCTTGTATGTAAGGATTAATTATTCATGCTGTTACTATAGTATATATCAATACACACTTAAGTAAAACACAGTTCTTCACCTGTTGCTCCATGTGGAGAAGTTATAGGCCTTATATGTTGTAATGACTAGCATCTCCCAAAGCTTACGCGGTATTATCAGTGTTGTACTCGCTCTTCTGCTAAGTTAGGTGACTGGTTCTTGCGATTCACCAAGAAGAAAATCACTTGATAGTTCAGAAAGAAAGGGTCTCAAAGTCCTTTCCACTGAGTTTTCAAACTCCTAGCTATCATTTTTTGTTGTGCAAACTGTTAATTACCTCTATTGCAACCAGCCATCCTATACCGAGTTAGTTGAGCAGCTATTATCTGATGTCCTACGGACATTTCTTGTCGTGAAACTCTGCTCGACAGCTCATAAAAGGTTCCAAAGCACTTCTGGTACCATTAATTGTGTGATTAACAAACCATCCTAATTTCAGATAAATGGATGGTAATCATACAATATAGTGAACACACTGTATCGTACAACAACATCTGACAGCTTAGAAAGCAAGGATTGCAACACCCTTTTAACTGAGATTTGGTACTCCTAGCTATCATCTCCAGTTGTACAAACTGGTGATACACTAGACATTACATATACCAACACCAGCCATCTTAACTCCATATTAGTTAAGTGGAACTCATACGTTGTAATATATACACTGAAAGGTGAACATCACTTGATAGCTTGGAAGTTAAATATTGGCCATTTCTTTTTACTTATTGGGTGTTAAGCCTGATGATCATCCCAGCTGCATGATAATGCTTCTTGATGGGGATGAAATTGGCAGTGGCTCTGTCAACTGTCAGAGCTGTCTCTCGCCTCTAAATCTGGTTCTTCCTCGTTTGACTTGTCTGTGAATAGCCAAAAAAATCACTTTGAGATCTTTCCTCCCTGTTTAATGCTTGATCGAGTCAAGCACTGAACCAAACAGATTCAGCATCAGGCATTGAACTGTCTGACCCCGAATCTGTTCATTGCAGACGGTGATCTGCCTAAAATGATTAAGGAACTGATCCAAACATTACTTGGCTTTACCCTTGAGTGTCGGGAGGAGAAATCTGCTTAGCCTTACTCACAGAAGCTTATAAGGGTATTATAAGCCTTTCTCTCATAGACTCTTAGCTAAGACTAGGCTGGCACGTAATAAATGTTGTAGATACAAAGTGGTAGAGGCTCTCAAAGATCACACCACTTTGATGAGCAGAATGTCCTGATCTAGGGTTAAAGAAGACCAAATTGCTCTAGACAGATTGCCCATCAGTTCTGCTCAACTCTAAACTCCTCTGTAGGGTGATATGTACAATGGCAGTATACATCCCGGTTTGAAGAGACTCACCACTGTCCATGACTTACTTACTCTCTCATTAGACACTTGGCATCTTATATACTGGAGAGATAGTTATGATGAAGTGAATATTTGTTCATACTGTCAGATGGGCGTGCTAAATAACAAGAGATTCGCTTACAATATCGATTATATATTAGTAATAAATCTCTTACTAACTGAGTCAATGTAAAATGAAGTGACGAGACTTGTCACAAAGTGAAATAAGAATTGAACAATCTATTAATTCATTAAACACGCACCACAGCGTGTATGCATTTGCAGTTACTTACATCAGACCGTTATTTTCACTGGATCACTGAATTGATTAAAGAGGATTAAATCTTATTAGTTTCAATGATGTTCGAGACCAGACTCACAAATCCAAGGTTTTTTAGCTTCAAAGAAATCCCGCATTTTACCCAGAGCGATATGCGATACTTACGGGATTGATAATTTTCATTGCAAAATAGTTGGTGCCGTAACTTCTAGATATAACCTGAAGAATGGTTGAAGGACAGACATTGCTTTCGATATTCTTACACAACACCATATTAAGCAATATTCTTCATGAACAGTAGCAGGTATTGCTTGCTTCGAAAACAACAAAGGAACAAAGGTAACTTGAAACAAGATCACCTTAAGGTTTTGTTTTCTCGACCATGTTTTATATGAAACTTCCACATATTCAGAACAAAGAATGAATTCAGAATAGATATTATTCTGCACTAAAAAGACAGAAACACATAGTATTGTTACGTCTCCGTTTGTTAATTAACTTTCCGTAACTTCGTTCCGACGAAACTTTAGCGACACAAGTCCTTACTTAATAAAACTGGTTAATTCTTTCTGAATATAACTTTACGATACACTCAACTTCAACAGTTGCGCTATAACAAACTATAATTCACGTATCACGAGCTAGACATCAACAATACG